AGCTAGTGGGTTTCTCTGCTCCCCCAATCCCTGTTTCTTCAAAGGCCCCTGCTGCAAAATGGCATGAGTCCCTGACTTCAGTTCAGAGACCACAGAATTGTGCATGCTGAATGAAAGCTGACACATGACCGAACCCTGCTGTCACTGGGTACATACATAGCTGGGGCCCACAGCGGCAAAATGACCCATCTAGGGTCACATAGCTAGTTAACAGCAGAATCAGGACTTGAATCCAGTTCTCCAGCCAGACAGCCTGATCCTACTTCTAGGTGAGCCTCAGGGCCTTATTACACAGAGGCAGGGAAGTGGGGGTCCTCTCCTGTCAATTAGAACCTCTGTGCCACTTTGGAGTAACCTCCTGAGCTTCAACCTTCTTTCTCCATAAAACAACAAATTTAAATGCAGGTGGGCAGAGAGGATTCAATGGGGCTGGACACCCAGGGGCAACCAACAGAAGCAAAAACTGCTCCTGTCTGGATCAAAAAGATTAAAGAAGGTCATATGCTAAAGATCAAGTATAACACCATCTTGTCAGGGACAGCTGGAACCCAAAGGTCAGAACTAAGTGGCAGTGGTGAAAACCTGGTCCTCTGTCTCCAAGGTTGTAATTACAGCCAGGGGACATGCTCAACGTCTCTACCTCCCCCTCTTCATTTCCAAAATATTTTAGTTTAACCAAAGCCCACTTTGGGTTTGATTTGTTTTATTCTGGGATCCCGGCACATTGATATTTCATGTCACAGTCTTTGTAATTACTTTGAAGGGAAACTTAATTCATGCACATCTGATGCCCACAAAAGTGAAATTTCAGTCATTTTTCCATTTTTAGGAGGTGGGTGTGTTTTAAAACATTTATATTTGAGCCAAAAAAACTAAGTAGGACCTCAGGTCAGAACTCACTAACACTAAGATATTCTCATTCTAAAAGCCCTCAATTGATAGTTTTGTGCATTTTTCCCCAAAATACATATGAAGGTGGTACAAATTCATAAGAATTTTTTTTAAACCCTAGATCTGGAGAACAGCAAATCAGGGCCTTCACCCCACTTATAGAAAGGGGCCTACTGATAGGTAAATTTCTCAACTCTCTTTAGTCATCACAGAGAGGAAAGTCCTACAAYAGTCAAAAAGGGGGAGAAAAAGAAGAAAAAAACACTCACGTGCTAACATAAAAAAATATATATATATATTCCCTAAAAAAAAAAAAATGAGCATTTAAACCGCTTGTCAGACGGTTTCCTGACAAAGCCACTAGAGTGTATTCATAGACATTTGCATAAATGCTGCCGGTGAGTTCCCCATAGCTGTTGGCGCTAATGGTACATAAAGTAATTTAGTCACTTCTCCCAGCATTCTGTGTCAGAATGATGAGCGCCGGCACTTTGCCTTGTTGCGTATTAGATCATTAGATAATAAAGTGTTAGCGCATGTAGGCTGACAGGGTCTCTGCACTCTGGCATCACGGGGGCACTGCATTTTGCCACAAGGGGAAGAAATAGAGAAATGATGCCACAATTGGTCTAAAATTCAAGTAAACAGAACCTGAGACCCGAGATGCACAACAATGACAATAACAACACTTCTTAAGCCTTTTAGAGGTCCCCGGCACAGTCTCTATGAATCTGCCCAATGACTGGAAGAGGAGGCACACACCAGTAACCACACATTAGGTGGCCACAGTTCAGTCCTTTGATCCCAAGCCCATGCTTTTTCAAAAAATTGGAACCATGAGAGCAGTTACATTTGGAGGCTGCCTCTCTGCACAGCTGTGCATCTTCCATAAAGCTGTTGCTTAAAGGAACCTCACTAAATGCCCCATAAATAACCAGCCAAAGAAAATCTCAGTATTTATGAATGAAGAAAAAAATGGGGGCGAGAAGCAATTACCGTGTGTGCCAAGATTCACCCTCTTTGGACCATGTAAGATTCTGTGACATAAATTTGCCTTTGTTAACCCTCATATTTGAAATATGGGGACATTAATCTGAGCACTGGGGCTGTGAGTCCGTGGGTTGTATGGGGAAGAGTGTGCATGAATGTAAACCATGATCCCTATTTCTACCTATATGCAGAGAGACAGGCCACGAAAGGAACTTTCCTCCAACTGTCTGACAAGCAGGATATAAATAGAGATGTGCAGAGTTGCTSAAAATAATTCAGGCTACCTGTAAACGAGGTGGTAAAAAGACCAGAATGAGGGGGAAATGAAGATGCCTACAGGTCTCCAGAGGTGAAGCTGCTGTGCAGACTCCGCACATTCTATGCAGAAGCTATGCAAGGTGGGGGTAAAGAGAGATTCCGATGGCAGTGTGATTCTTCAACAGGGCATTTTAAAATAGATTTTTTTCAATGGCAGGATTAAGTATTTCCCCCAAACCAACATGAATTAGCATCTGGGTCTACTCCCACACATTAGTGATGAAAGAGTTCCAGACTCACCCTTTGCTGGGTACATATTTATGTGTCAGCCTGAAGTGTCTGAATGAGTGGGCGGTTTTGTGTGGTTGGTTGATTCATTCTGCAAAGTAGCAGATGTCTATGCTACTGTGTTGTTGTTACTAAGGATCTGAACATGTCTATGCTTTCATTCCACTGGAGAGAAGTAAGGCTTTGATGACGGTAGAAACCCCACAAAAGGACACAGGACAAATCTATGTCCCCAACAATGGCTAACCACTGATTTGTAGTGAAATGTCACCAATTTCTTGAATAATAATAACATGGGCATTTGCAGACTGGTGAACTGGAGCACAGGAATAGAATATTGTCTTTAAATTGTGGAATAATATGATATTCCAACTGAAATATTAATATGTAGTCTAGCAGAGAGAATTCTTGAGCTGGGAGGAAACTTGGAGATGTTTTGACTCAGGGTCGCCTGTTAGCCTGTGACTTCATTCTTCCTAGGTACCTTCCCCTCCCCCTTCTTCCCTTCAGGGTTTGTTTGTTTATTTATTTATTTATTTTCATAATCAAGAATCAACAATTAAAATCAGGAGGGTTTTAATTTTTGCCAAACTGGAACATCTGGCCTAAATGGGCTCTCATTCCCCTTAGCAACGCTGCCTGGGACTGGGGGCAGCCGAGCATGCACTTGTTCATCTTCAAGGTCTCCACCCAGTTCACTTCCCTTATTAACATTACCTGGCCCCACCCAGGGCACAGATTTAGGTTTTTTTTTTTTTTAATTACTGTCCCTTGCGCCAGATGATCAACTTCATTTTACCAGGAAGGAAACCAAAGATCCCCAAAAGTGATTTGTACAAGGTCACACAGAATGAAACTGAGAACTGAATTGAATTTGAGGTCCCTGGTACTTATTCTGAAACTTTGTCCTATACATCACACTGCAAAATAATGTTACTGACCACCACCCACTAGAGGCATCCTTTCTAGAAGATCCTTATTGTTTGCTTGCATTGGATTTCGYTGTTGTTGTTGTTGTTGCTATTGGAGGGATAGTCAGCACAGTATCATGAGCTCTCTCACTGGCTTCCCAAAAGCAGAAATGGGAGCTAAGTGTGGCCTGCACTTGGACCACCGTTTGAAATTCTGCATTGGTGACTAGCAGACTCCAAGTCTACCCCCAGGCATTGCAACTCACTAGCCACAAAGATGACTTCAGTTCCTTCGTAATCAAGGCTTTCTAAAGTATGTCCACTGAGCATTTGTCTGCTTCTTTTTCTTCTTCCTCTCACCTAAACACCTTTAGCAATACAATGCCTTAAGTGACTCCAAAGGTATTAAAAAGGCAACATTACTGTAAAGTGAGGATCAGAATAATTTTAAGTACAGAAATGGAACTAGGAATGTAATCATGAGCAGGTGTTTCAAATGGCCTCCTGCAAAAAGTAATATCCATCCATCTCAGCACTAATGAAACCATAAAGAAGCAGCTTTTGAAAGATGATGGTTTACTTTTAAAAGACTGTAAAACTGGATGTGGTGAAGAATCCCTTCTAAGAGTGTTACATCTGGCTAATTAATAAAATGTACTGTTTTGCATTCCTCAAGCACAGGGGGAAAAACAGGCAAAAATGATGACAGTCRTGTGTTTATTAAATTGGGATGCTGGCAGGGAAGGGAGTTCTCTCTACCTTATGAATTATATCATGTACAGATTCGTGGCCCAGGGAAAAATCAGGCAATCAGGTGATAATTTGTGTGGTATGTTCTCCTGCTGACCTAGCAAACTGGAAAACGAAGTGAAGGAAATGGGTTAAGAGTTTAATTTGAGGAGATTAAATAAAGTGTGGGATAGTGCTTGGTATCCAGGAGTCTCAGTTGCTGATTTTTGGATGGATGGATGGATGGATGGATGGAAGGATACATTACATACACATGCAACCCGGAAATACTTAGACATGAGCATCCAATCCAACCCACATTTCTTTTAGTGCATTTACTTTCCCTGAAATAAATTTTTATCTGGTTTCCTCCTGTCCTCTCATAGGCACCATTGATTTGTTGCAATTCTCAAGACAAGAGTGATCTCTCCCCACCAAGGTCAACCTTCAGGAAGCAGGCCCTATCAAAAGGTGTTGGGAGAGTTCCACACAGGGCAGAGGAGAGGCATTTGGTCTGAGTATCACACACAGAGTGCACCTCCAGCCTTTGGATCTGATCTCCCAATGAAATTCATCAGGTGGTCACAGAGAGATACTGGCAGGTCTGTAAGGCCTTTGCTGGTGTTTTCTTTGTAGATTGGCCTGTCCTTATTTTATCGTCAAGCGGGAATTCAAAATAAAGCAGTATCCCAGCTCTCTCTCCTCTCAATCCAAGACAGAGAGTTATGCAACCCAAACAGAATGGGCCTCAAGGTGCTTTCCTCTCTTTAAATACTCAGCAACCATACTTTGAAGAGCAAAAACCCCAGAGGATTAATATTGTCCAAAGGACTTTTGAAATTTGAAACAAAAATGTGGTGGAGTGGAAGAAAGAAACCAAATAAATTCACAGTTACAAGTAGCAATGCCAAGCAATGAAAATGATTCGCCTACCATGTTCCAGATAAGAGGGCGTACCTTCCGAGGGGTCAAGCCTCCGAGCCCTCCGCCCATGCTTGGAGTTGTTATGGACAAACATGTTATCAGAGACTGCCAGGACATGGCCATCCACGTTGACGGTTGTAGACACCACAACCTGGAGACAGGAGAGAAGAATGAATGAACATTTTAATATAAAAGCATGGTGGGTAATAAACTCAAGTTAAATAAATAACAGCTGGGAGCTGAAGAAAATTGCATAGCTATTTCACATAATAACTGGTGCTTATGCTGTACAAGTCTAACAAGAGGAGCTATTGATGAGTGGGTCTTTGGCATGGAACGCTTTTGATGCAGTTTTAAGTAAAATTGCACAGTTTATAGTTCCACGGCAGAAGGTGCACTGTTAACCATAATTTTAACAAGAGGATCTTTATTAGCATATTTTTTTTTTTTACACAAGGGTGGTTGTGTTTCACCTAAATTACCCTTCAGTTTAGACACTGAAGCAGATATCACAGTTGATCATGCAAATAAAAGTCTTTTGAATCTTTAAAATATCTCCTCCCCACTGTGTCAGGGTTAAGAGGATAGAGGAATAAAAAGGAGAGGTTTCAGCGAGGGCTGGGATGTGTCTCTCTCTCTGGGGCGTCTTTTTCTGGTTTCTTGTACTTTTTCCTTTTTGTGTTCGYTTGGTGAATCAAACCAGAATCCTCCTCCCCACTATTACCATCATGCCCCTCTCAAAAAAAAAAAAAAAAAGAAAAAAAAAATCCCTGCTAATTAAGAGTCTTAAATCTATTTAAAAAAAAATTGTGGGACTGGCCCAAGACACAATTGAGTCACCCAGGCCATCTTATGACCTGACTCTGAGCCCCGTTTGCCAAAAGGAACCCAGGCAAAGGTGTGCCTCCGAGAACTTTGAGTAAAACAATGAGAAGAAATGACCTACACTTCTCCTTATATTAAATGGGGAAGAGGATTAAAACTGAAACCCACAGAGATATGTTTATTCATGCGACCTCTTACAACCAAATATAATAATTGTCTGTAATTGCAGATTCGGTTCCCACCTCATGCTTTGACACGAGAAACAGCAATCAGCCAGCTCCCGTTTAATCCACCTATTATGTTGACTAATTAACTTTGCCCGACAGTTTATTTCTTCCTCCATTATCAGCCCCTGTCAGCCACAAGCACCCTGCAGCATAGGGGAGACCTCAGGCCCTTTGATTGATCACCGATAGATTGACATGCAGATTAATTTAATTAGAATCACCTCACTTGAGAAATGAAAGACAAAGGCAAGAGGGCTAATAGATCTGCTCTCATAATGAGGCGAGCCTCCGCAGCAGCAGCGGAGGCTGAGGATTTCTGATTTATTTTGCTCAATTCCCCAGTTGCTTGGAAAGACTCTTGCTTTAATTGTTCTTGGTTTTGAGAGGCATTAGCCTCTGAAGAGGTGAACCGCTTTACAAGAGTTGGCACATACTGAGGCCTCGGTTCTCCCAGTTGGCCAAAGGGAACACTGACTTCTAGAGTCCCATGAAACAGTGGTTCACATCACGGGATGAGCCCAGGAAGCACGTGTGGCCGAGGCGCAGGGTCTTTGAGTTGTTGGCCCTGCTTGGATTGGCATGCCCTGCAACTTTGCCATACTTAAAAATTCTACTGTCCCTCTCTTTCATCTAGATGCATCCTGGCAAAAGAAGGTTTTCCCTTCCCTAGGCCTTCAAGATGGCAACCAACTGCAAAACTGGATAATGCATAACTGGAGACAGCACCAGGAAGTTGGTTGTATTTTCCAAATCTGTTTTATTAAAATGCACAGTGAGCAATTGAGAATCCATCTGGGAACGGGGCATTCTCCTTACACATTGTGAAACCCCAAATTCCATCTGGAACAGGTCATCCCTGGGAAAGGATGGGARGGGGTTGCTACAGTTAGCAAAGTGGTTTTCTTCTCATGGTTGGCCAGTCGGGTCAGTTGGTCCCRAAGTTGTTGTGCACCCCTCGCCAATTATAGAATAACTTGAAAAGAGGAGGGGAAGAAGAGAAGAAAACCACCTGTTCTTTCACTTTCAGAAACTATTATGTGCRGTGGCAGAGGGAATATTATTTAGGGTAAAGGAAACACTTTTTAGCTCAAGAGGAGACTTCATAGGACAACAGCAATTATATAACAAAGCTGGGTCTTTCAAAGAAATTTTGATTTACTACAAGACCACAATTGAGTGGTCACTGGAGTCGTTAGCTAAAGACACTATAAAAAGAATCCCAAATGGTGTCTGTTTCCAGAGTCAGGAAATAGAAAGTGGTTATTCTAGATGTCTGTCTTCAGAAAAAAAGAAAGCAATGACAATTCACCGTGCACCTGTAAGGCACAGTGCCACAAACATAACCTTAAAATATGCAGTGTCTTTTAAAGGCACTGTCATCTAATTCCTAACACTGAATAAAAATGTCAAAAATGGTTAAGGGGGGGGACTCTCCTTGGCAAGAGAAGGACCACTAGAGCCACGTGAGTGACAGAATCATTTCATTGCAAGGCCAGCCATGCCATTCATTTCTTAAGATAAATGACTAATATGTCCCTCAAAAGCTTGTAGCACAACTTTCCAACCCCAAAATACTTTCTCCCATTCCAATTTGGAAACGATAGATTTAAATGAAACATACGCTGAAAGCGGATCACAGAGCAATTTGTAAGTTAATAAAACAATCTGTGAGATGCAAAAGGGTTTCTTAAAATAGGCCCATGTTAGGAGAGAAAAGGATCTTTACAGTTCCACACATGATTAATGATGTGCTGACACATTCAGCAGGTGGGGGGACAGGCAGGCCTGCCAAGGCTCCAACCTCCCCAAATTTTGTCACCAAAGCACAGTTTGAATTTGGGACAGATAAACACAGAAAACGATTTTACCTCTGAATTCAGCCAGCCTATCCCTCTTTATCCTCTCTTTTATTCCTCTATCCAGAGAAGGAACAGGAGTGAACAGGTATGTTCACTATTTCAACACCTGTTATAGGTGGACCTTCACTTTCTAGAACCACCCTGTCCAATGCGGTACCCAAWCGTGCACCTGTTCAAACTAAGTAGAATTTAAAACTCCATTCTCAAGTCTCAACAGCCACATTCCAAATGCTCTGGTCACAGCCACAGGTGGCGGCTGGCGACTGGAACTGGACGGGGCAAACTTGGAACACGTCCATCACCGCAGAAGTCGCTGCCGCCTAGCACACTGTAGAATGGTTCAGAAGTCGTTTGTGCCAACTTATGGGTGGGAATAAATTATGCCTGGAGTTACATCTCCTGAAAAATACTAGGCAGGTACACAGGTGGAGAGTTGTATTTTTTTTTTAAGGATTGCGTTTTTTTTTTTTTTTTAAGAGAGAGTGAGAGAGGGGAGAGAGAGAGATAATTTTTAATATTTATTTTTTTTTAGTTCTCAGCGGGCACAACATCTTTATATGTATGTGGTGCTGAGGATCGAACCCGGACCGCACACATGCCAGGCGAGCGCGCTACCGCTTGAGCCACATCCCCAGCCCTAAGGATTGTGTTTTTACCGGAGCCTTTGCTTTAAATGTAGTCACCCAAATGTGCTGATCATTACTAGCATGTGCCACAGGTACTCTGATCTGAGTCCCATCCTCCAGGTGAGKGCATTTGGTGTACAGAGAGGAGAAGGACAAGCCTGCAGTGACCTGAGGACTATCGAGACCTCAATGTGTTGGTCCCTTTCCTGGCTCACACCAGTGCTTCAAAACCTGCTGTTACCTTCTTTCCTAGATCTGCCTAAAGATTATTCTTCTTATTATCTACCCTATCTATTTAGAATATGAAAGAATTAAACAAACAAACAAAAAAGTCATGATTCTCAGCTCTCTAGTGCTCTTAGTGGATAACTTTGGCCAGTTTAACTTCACCTTTCTAAGTCCCTGTGTCCCTGACTCTCAAGTGGGGAGAATAATGGTCCCTAACTCGTAAGGTCGCCCGGAGGCTAGGTTCATCAAAGTGGCTAGCGGGGTTTCTGGTTCCTACAGAGTGGTCCGGGAATCGTTGTCACTTTGTGGGTGACAGCAAACAAAATGTTCAAAAGGACGTGTTGGGCTGAGAAACCTGAAGCAGTGCCTCTTGATTTCCGTGAAGAGAACCCTGTGTGAACTGTTATTTTAAATAAAAGGGTACTGAGTGCCTCTCCTATGTCCACTGCTCAATGGAGTGGCCCCAATGTTAAAGACCTTTGTCCTCACAATAAAGTATCCCACAAGTCAGGCCTTTGGTGGGTTGCAGATCTCACCGGTTTATGTACTTTTGCTTTCTAGAATCTGTCTGCGCCTTAGTCTGTTACATTCCAGGCTTGAAACGAAATGAAAACTGACTGCAACAGAAACAGTCTGTACCCGAGACAGCCTACCATTTGGGTCTAGCTTTCCCAGTCCCTCACATCAGCGTGGGGTTCTGGGGAGCCCTGTTGCTGGTTGGTTCTTTCCCTTCAGTGAGGCAGGGGAACTTGCGAATTCAAACTAATGGTCTAAGATTCATGAAGCATAACCTCTGTCGCATGAACAGATTTTCAGAAGGACAAAGCAGCTAAATTCGACCATGAAAAGGAACACAGAGTAACTCAGTAACAAAAGCAGCAGGCATGTGGGAGAAGGGGTTATCCAAAAAGGATCCAGAAGACTTGAAATCTGTATCTTTGAGTATTTCTCTAACAAATATGGAATCATAGGAAAGATTACACMGTAAAAATATGTTTCATTGTTAAAGTTTAGAATATTTTGGCAGTAAGTGTCTCCCTTGGAAAACTAACAACTCCAACAAGTTTTGAATAACTATAAAAAGAAAATCACAAATCTCGGTCTGCAATGCTACACACGGTAACTCAGTAAAAGGCAATCAGTGGTAAAGCTGGTGGTGTTCCCTTCTTTTAYTGATAAGCACAAATTAAATTTAYTAGACAAGGCCAAATGATTTTCCCRTGTAACTGTGCCAATATGCAGTTCTGTTTCCTTTCTTACCTCTAATTTCAGCTTGCTTTATTTCTGCATTAATCCAGGGACTCTGATAATAAAGTTTTGAAAATAGTAACTTGAAGTACATGAGGGAAAAAGGCTTTAAGGRCCATCCCATAGAATAGTACTCAG